GACGGCGAAGGTGAAGGCGACGGCGAAGGCGACGGCGAAGGCGAAGGCGAAGGCGACGGCGACGGCGAAGGCGGCGGCGAAGGCGACGGCGACGGCGACGGCGACGGCGACGGCGACGGCGAAGGCGAAGGCGAAGGCGACGGCGACTGCAGGGTGCTTTGAGCTCTGTCCAAACGGCAACATTCGCAAATCCAACTACTGACCTACAGCTTGCGGTAACCTAGGCGGTATTTGTACATTTGTAGGATGATGTTGGCGAGTGCCTTATGCGACTGCCAAGTGTAACGGAGTTAATGAAGATGCCTTCCCTTTCCTAGGTAGGCATCAGCTTAGGTGCCTCAGGACAGTAATTGATGTCACTGCAGTGCCTCCGAACGGGTCATAGAAATATGAGTCCCGACGGTGGTTTCAACACTAGCTGCACAGCTAGTTCGCGTTCAAACGTTGTATGGAGAAGAATTCTAGCGGCTTGATGGTCTGAACGATTGTTTTTTCTGGTCTCTCCGATCAACACCAGATGAATCCCGGAGCAGTACCCTAACAAAGGAGAGAGCACGCGATCTGTCCGTTCCCTTCCTTGTCTTATCCTCACCATTTACTTACACTATACATTTACCTACACTATCACACACGCCGGGAGACCAGGCGGGAGCTTGTCCAGCTGAGACGGTGGCTCGCTGTAGAGAGGTACGAGTATCTCGTTTTGGAATAAAACTCAAGCCGTCGGTTAGATCGGCGTTGTATCTAGCCATCCAGTGAGGGAAGATTACGGTCACATCCTGCGATAAAAAATTCACTACAATTTTCGGACTAAAACGTTAGCAAGACGCACTCGGAATCACTAATTAATAAAATTCCGAGGAACCCTAGGTAAATATGGATGATTCCTAGCATGGGACATTCATTTGATGATAGAGATGACCACTCCTTAGGTGAAACTCGAACACTCAGCCTGCAGCTCCACCAACGTGGACGCTTCTCCAAGCTCCTGCACCAAGAGGTGGCCCCAGCAGGGAGAAAAACGCCATGTCAAATTATGGCATGATTTTCATGAGCAAGGCAAATACTAATTCACAAACTTAGGGTTAAACCTGTCTATTCATGTTAGGAAAAAATGTTTTATTGGAGCTTCCTTAAATTAACAATATGTTTTAAATGAGACAGATCTTGCGTTATTACCTATTATGCAAGTGATTATTAGTGCCAACTGTAGTTCAAACATCGGTATGTGAGAGAAAAATTGATTTTTAAGTGTTTGTGATACAAAACGAAACAAAATTGTACAGACTGTGTGGAGGGAATCATTCAAATTATAGAAAATCTAACGCAACAGGTGCTTAAAAAATCGAAAATGTTATGAATGTACAGGACGTTATGAATAAAATAAAATACAAACGATTTCTCTAAAGCTTCTAAGGCTTTGAAGAAACATGGTTTGTATTATAAATTGAATTAAATGTAATAACTGAAATTAGATATAATTTGGTGTTATTATACCTAGGTAATCTAAAAAAACTTAAATTATATTATAAAATTTCTTCCTATAAAATACAAATACCATTGTAATCTTATGAATCCAAATAAACGTTTCTGCAGAAAAGACCAACTCACAAATAGGAATGTTTACATATATGTACCAAACTTGATATAGTTATTTTGAAACAATCTCGAAAAACCTCTTTGCTGAAACGATTGCATTAAGAAGTGTGATTGATCGTAAGGGGCTTCTTTCCACATGATTAAGAGATCATTTTTAATGTTTTAAAATATTTTGGCTTTCAAGTTTCACAGAGGATATATATTAGGAATATCCTAAGGAGGAGAAACAGATGAAATTATGTTGTCTTCAATATTCTCTATACGTCCAAGTGTCGGAATGTGACTTTTCATATACGCAAGCTAGTTCACTTCGTGTGTATTTCAATGTGCTTGTCACCCGCTTTGAATATAATCACGTCCGTACGAGAGGGAACCTAGACTTCAGCTGGTCTCTGCCCACCTCGTCTCATACCTCCGAAGTCACACGAAGTAAACTTCTCAAGCACATCCAACAACCCACTTGCTGTCCTAGCAGCATTTGCGCCAGTGAAAAGTCACTTGCTTTCCACTCACCTTTTAGGTGGACATTTAAATTCTGGAATTTGCGATCTGGCCTCTGCTGAGTGGGAACTTCAGAGCGACGGCTCAGTCTGAAAAGGTCGTCGACTAGTTCTCCGTTGATCCGTCTCTGTCTCAGAGATCGTGTTTCATTTCGCCTCGGCAACTCCACTGGAATATCACTATATATTAGTGTTAGTTTTTATTTGTATTCCACCTAAAACGTAATTCTTCGAATGCTTTTGGTCTTGTTTTCAAACTAAATAAGATGTCACACAACACTACGTCATTATTTTGCATTGGATTCAAAGTAAGATATGGTCATTGTCCTGTATAGACTAAATACTTCTTAAGACTTATAAACAGTACTTCAATTTTTTGTGTAGAATTTTTTTGACAATAATGATTTGAAATAGTAAGGCACTATTCCATCGTTTTTTACAAACAATTGAGAAGAAAAATTCATAAAAAGATCGTAAAAGTTCATCGTTAATAAACTGAAGAATGAAAAATAAACCAACGATGGTATTATTGAGAATTGATTGATTGACACGTTGGGCACATGATCATATTTCATGGATACTTCCATAAATGTAATTTATCTTAAAGATTGATGTTAACAACGCATCCGATGGTAACCTTCACTGTATTTTGATAAACCATTGATCACTTAGCCTAATTGAAATTGAACAAATTGCAATTGGAAATTCTTGAAATTGTATATTAAAACTGCTAGAAGATATTGAAAACTTGTCTTATATACCTACCCTAAGACAATTGTAAATAATATTTTAAACCCTTTTTTAAAATGTAGAAGAGATAAAATGCATTGATGCAACTCTTCTTCATGTTCAAGTCTTATTTCTAACACGAAAAAAACATTTTTTGTAAAAATTAAAGCAGCGTTTTGTGTGCTCGTTACACGAAACATTCCACGTTTCATAATGCACGTGTCTGAGGACACAACCAACCCTGGTAACCTAAAACCAACTGCACATAAAACGATGTCATTCACTGGGCAGTACACGTAACCCATAAATTTTACTGCTTGTTACGGCTGTCAAAAACACACAAAGGCTACTAAAGGTATCAGAGAAACATACGTCTTGCAGTTTGATGGAGAAAGTGCTCTTTGCGCAGCGCATAGACACTAGCAGCGCTGAGCAGCGGTGCTGATAGGAACTTCCACAGTGTGTGGAGGCCAATATTACGATAGTGACTGGCATCACTTATAAAAGTCAGCATACTTTGGTTTTGATTTAGTTGCCTCAACAATTATCGGTCTGATTGGCTTGAGTGTCTTAATGAACATGATAATACCGATTTTCATTGTATGGTGGTGGAAAGAGGTGATAGTATAGGAACTACAGAAGGTTCCTACAATCTGTTAGACTTATGTCAAGATAAAGAGGCTAACAGATTAAATTATTTGAAAGTCCAATTATTTGAAGTCCCGTTAAAGTCAAGCCTCTATGGTATATTTAAGCAACATAGATTAACTTGGTGTAAAAAAGATCTCTGAGCATCTACGTCTAGCGTTATGGGCTCCGAAGATCTATACGAAACTACAGAAAACGAAGTGGTAAAAATGCGACTTGAAGAGATACAGTGCTTAAGGCAACATTAATGTTGGTGGATCGAGAGCAGGCACACGGAGTGCTTTTTTCCTCAATGATTAACATGAAAATGTGCCTCCTCTTGAATTCTAATGGAATATCTAAAGATACAACAAGTCTCTACATATACCTAAAAAAACTCAGTAAGGATGTAAGCATTTTAGTGGACTTCTGGCTATACTCTGATTTAAACATAGGGGGACTTCATGATCGCGAGCTGAATGGAAAGAGGGACAGTCATCCAATTAGAGTCTTCGTTACAACACGAAGTGTTATTTGAGCTCCCGATTGAATCACAATGTCCCCCCCCCCTCCTTTCAATTACTGACCTTGTAGTGCCACTATGTTTAAATCGGAATATAATTGCTGAGCAGGTATCTAAATCCTGGGGAAGCATTGCTTTTCTCCCCTCCATACCCGATCTGCTTTACCATCACGTATTCAGGTAGCTTCACTTCTGAGAAAGAATAATCTAGTGCTGTGGATTAAATGGTGCTCCATGCTGAGAAATAAACTAATGCAGCGGAGTAGGCTGAGGGGAGAGGAATTATTTATAAAGATTTACTACATTGGGCCCAAACTGTTCAATTGACATGTTAGTAATTAACACTTACAGTGAGGCTGTTCCGCTATGTGTGTTTGTGCAGTGATGTATATGAAAACCAAATAAACGACTACAGTCCGGATTCCCATTTGTTTGCACTGTTTTCGGGACGACGATACATTAGGAGATGCATATTCTATTCGCCTTTATTGTAATTCTCTATTCAGATTTAAATCATCCAGAACGTTTTTTTAGATAAGTTTAAATGCCAACACATTTCATCACCATTTTATAGAGGTGAAAGTCTTCCCGGAATGTGTCTAGTCACATTGAGAGCTTCTCTTTCGCAATGGATGTCAAGGACTCGCAAAAAATGAATTCTGACTCCACAACGTGATAAAGGAAGTAATTTACATCATAGAGGAACGAGATTTATCCATTTTATGGTACCATAGAATAAGAGTTTTTCTGTGAAAAATTCGGCGATTTCCGGCGTATGAGTACAAAAACTCTGGAGAGAAAGTAAAAAAGTATTGGATTATGTCAAAAAATTTAAGGTTGGGATATTGGTGGTAAAATCAATATTGAGAGCTCTCGAGTCAAAAAGGTGTTTTTACTGAAGGTCTGCAAATGATTGATCAGTTGAATGGGCAATCCAAACCACTTAACCAAAATCTCCAGCTTCTGCAATGTGCGCTACTAAATATGGGAGGTGCATGAGCGAAAAAATAGTATTATGCAGACGACGTGGAATAGCGTTAAAATATTTAGAATTTTAGTTTAAGGGAAGAGAGTAAAATGAAATAGACCAAAATATCGAATTTTGTTTTTTGGTTAAATAAATGGTTCAAACCTTTCTTTTTTCAAATGTATTAACATTTTTTCATTTTGAGACGTGTGGAAGTCCCCTTAATTCTTGTCCTGGTGCGCATAAGCCCTGCCCCCTTTCTTGACACTGCATAAAATTATGGCTATTTTTTCGTAATTTTGAATGCATCTTGGATTTTTAATGAGCTATTGAGACATGCTTTTGTTCATAGGTTGGTAGCATTGGCCTTTTCAGCTGAAGGAGATTATTCGTAATACGGAACAAAAATGTCCTAGTAGAGGAGTGGCAAGTACAGACTTTTCAAAAGGCGTTTACCGAAAACGAACTTATTTTTTAATTATTGTACCTCCCCTTAGAAATTATTACTCACAATTTATTAAAATTTATGGGATACATTCTTTATAGTATTGATAATAAATCGACTTGTTTGTATCAACATTCTTTTAAAATAAACAATATAAAATATTAATGTTTGTCATCAAATGTTGAAACAATTAGGAAAAAAGTGATAATTGAAAAAAATACTAATTGTTTTTAATCAATCTAAAAAATGTCAAAATAAAAACAAAGACTGTACCTTTAGGGGGCGCGAAATATCAAAATTTTCTAGAAAACCATTTTCTAGAAAAGGTACATCAATAGTAGCAAATTTAGCACGGGAGGTGTGTGGTTCGTTCTCCCCTTCATTCAAATTATGATGGAAGATAAGGATGATTAATTAATGAATTACTACGAATGATAACAAATGGGGCATGCATCACTTGAAAGCTAACTTTCATCTACATGTCACTGTCACTGTCCCTACATATCACTGCAGTTTGGTAAATAAATGCTCTTTCGTTGATCATTCATTCCGTTGAAAGGCTGGCGGCTTTGTGCATTCGCTCTATTGTCCGTGGGGCTTGGCGCATCGATGTGATTTGAAAGGGAAATAAGTCCTTGAACCATAGTTTTGAAAAAAAACACACTTAATACGATCCAACGTTGACATTTGGGACATTTATATTCTACACAAAAGCTGTGGAACTAGTCGTTATTGATAGCTTGGGCTACTCTCTAACTTCAAATTTGCATTACTGTGATACGCAATCCCGTTTTTATACCCTGAAGTTATTCTCTTTATAAAATCTACTTCTTCTTAGGGCATTTTACCGCCGACAGCCGGTTATCCATTGAGCCCCGATGGGACTCATATTCGACCATACACTAGACATTAACACATTTTGCGGGCTCCTATGATCTGTGGTCAGCAGAACGCGGAGCCCTCCGCGCAACACATACGTGAGAGGCAAGGGACAAACAACCATGCCGAAGGCGGGTCTCGAACCCGCGACCCATCGGACCGAAGCGCTGAGTTGGTACACGTTTTGAGCCACTTCAGCCATCCAGATCAACTCTTTATAAAATAAGTATGAAATATTAAAAAAACTCTTTATTTCTTTATTTTTGAACTTATAAAACAATATTATCTGAGAATGATAACAAATGATATAAAAAATAAAATGATGAGAATTAAAAAATGTTGTGATGTAGACATCAAAAGTACTCTTACTTATCTTACTTTAATAATATCAGCATCTACTTATCATTGATGTCCAGTTTGAGTCTCTGGCTAAGTCAAAATGTTCTGGGAAAAATTGAGATATTCATGTTAGATGTATTTTACAATTTTTATAACATCAATTTTTTTTCTCTAATTTCTGGAAGAACAGCTGAGACTAACTATCTTGTAATGAAAATCTGGATATTCCTTCCCTTTTAGAAGCGAACTTGAATGAGAAATTGACAAGCCCGCCAATATATGTGCTAACGTGACACGAAGTAATCAAAATACTCTCTTTCACACGATAGATGCTTTACTTGCAAAGAGTCACTGCAGAATCTCAATGAAGACTGCTAGGACGAAAAAGAGACTTGGTTGTCTTCTTAAAATAGTTCGACCGACAGGTTTTGATTGTTGATTGTCATTTACAGGAAAGTCAACATCATCATCATCATCATCATCATCATCATCATCATCATCATCATTTTTGACTCTTTACTATTGATTGCCA